GCTCGAGGGCTCGAGATGATAGCTGTAAGCTGAGCTGTAAAATGAGACTGGAGCGACCATGTGTGAGTGAAGACGTACGCGTTTCACTCCCGTACTGTTTTGGTCCAAATTTTAAAATTCCATGTCCATGTGCTTAATCTATGGCCCAATGCTATACACACAAAACGAGATTGAGTTTTGATAGCGATATTTCCTCTCCAGAAGGGAAAAAGATCTGCGAGATCCCACATTCAGACCCAAATATAAACTCAGTAAGTGACGGAGGCAACAACGATCAATTGCTGAAAGTGCTGAACATGACAGAAAGGATTGCCTCACAACTCAAAATGATCTGCCAAATAGTTGCAAGCACTGAGAACAGACTACAGACTCGAACGTATATTTGAGCGTTTTTCTGATTTAGAAAGGTCAGTTAACAGCTTTCCCACTGAATTGAACACGCTTAGTAAGAAGTTGAGAAAGATCGAAGAGAAGACGAAAGAATTTAAAAAGGCAATGGAGTTGGAAAATGCAGAAATTGAGGGGCTAAAGAGGAAAGACTAGGAGAATGAAGATAAAATCAGAAAGAATGCTCAGCAGAAATATTTAGGCGTTCTCATTAAATTTCACCACAGGATTAAACAGCTAGAACAGTGTAAAAGCAGTGATGAAAAACTAACTAAGAATAAGGCACATTACACAGTCCCTGAACCAAGAGTCAATGTAAACAAACATGAAGAAAAAATTGAAAACATCCAGAAAATTCATGGCTGAAATTTCAGATACAGAAATAACTTTCCTGGATACATGCCTATATAAGGGCGAAAGATTTAAGGAGTCCATTTGCGATGTGCACACGCACTTCAAACCGACAGAAACTTTCCAATACACACTCTTCAAAAGCTACATTTGAAGAAAACATTGCAAGATTCAAACGCAGATTACGCAACAGAAGTTATCCAGATAATTTTTTAGAAAACACTCTAAGAAATTAAATTTAGCGAAAGAATGTCGGCTCTACAAAATAAACAAAAAACGCACAAAAGAATTTTGCCATTTGTTACAGAATATCACCCATCTGTGCCTAATCTTACAAACATTCTTATGAGTAAATGCCATTTAATACAAAATCAGCCTCTGCTAAGGGAGATCTATAAAGACCCTCCCCTGCTTTCATTCAGAAAAGGGAGATCTTTGAAAAATGTACTCGTTAGAGCAAAGCTTTGAAAGTTAAAATTTTCCTAGCTTGACCAATAGGAGTCATGTTTGGCCTGTCGTCCTTTTTTATCATCAAAAAATTTAAAAAATTAAAAATTAAAAAATTTGCATCATGCAATTCACTTCAAGCTGCCGATGGCTTTGTTTTATGGCAACTGTTTCAGTAAAAAAAAATAAAGTGGCCCGCTTGGTGGAAATATTTGAACTTATATATTTTAAGTTGTATTCAGATCTTAGGACCAGGTGGTCCCAAATGCTATATTTTCCCGAAGAAATTGTAAGCAAAGACCACCTTCTTATTTGGGTGGATAGAAACATATTTAAAAACCGGAGTTAAGCATAGCGCATTTCATTAGAATGTCCCATTATTTACCAATTGATCAGTACACAGTATTTGTGATTTTAAAGATAAGTTGTTTTAAGTGTAGTAAAATGTAAGCAAGTGTCATAATATGCACTATAATGAGGACGGTTATTATGATAATTGTGATCTTATTCAGGTCTGTAAGTGCAGTGTGCACAGATAGGTGGCTCCATAATGATCAGGGCTCAACGCTAACTTTTCAACTTACTAGCCAAGTGGCTAATGACTACTTTGGTGTTACTAGCCAAAAACATTTTTTTTACTAGCCAAGCATTAAGGTTGGTTACCTTATTACAGGAAATTTTTGCGACACGTTTATTTCGCAACAATTAAGTTCGTGATTTTGCAAAAATTTGTATTTTGAATCACTTTAACTTTGCATTTTTGAGTAACACAAAATTTGTTTCCTTCGCAATGTTACTTAAACATGTCTGAATTTAGTAAACTGACTTTATCAAAGGCACAATAACGTCAAAGTAACAAAAATGCAATGGCGGGATTGTATGTCAACAGTGACATAATGTGTTATATTCCTGACATGTACTTATTTGCGTCACTTTAATTTCGCGATTTGTTTTTAAATCACGCAATTCGCAAAATTAACGTGTTGCAAAAATTTCAGGTAAGTCCAATAACAGCAGAATTACAAGCAAGACTTGAAAGCACAATGCAAGCCACTCTCTTTAATACATGTTGGTAATTATACTGTACTTAAACTAGTTTTAAAAAAGTTCCAGTTGCCAAAAAGACTTTCAGGACTGTTTTTCTCTGAAACTTCCTTGGAAAAATATTGAGACCCCTAAGATGTAACTGTAAAAGCTGTTGAGACCTCTTCACAGACAGGTGCCGTAGAGATTTTCTGAAAGTAAAAGATCAATAACCAGAAAGAACAGATTTGCAAGATGCGTATTTAAAGCTCGTGGTTCACATCCTTTAATATCAATTTTTTTCTTTCTTTTTGTTCAGAGAAAAGCGGGGATTGGACGAAAACAAACCTTCAGCAGTTTGACGAGAACACAGCTTGAAGATCAGGTGAGTAGAGTGACAAAATCAGGACATCACCAATTACATGGAGTAAGGAAGTTAACTTTACTTAGCTGAGAAATCAGTGAATGAGTTGCCAGTAATCGGATACCCGTGTTTGCGCAAAGAACTCTGGGATCACCAGGGGGCAAACATTGCAAGTCGCTAGAAGTTTTTTCCTTCAAAACAGTCCAAAAAAGAGATTTCAAATTCCGTTGAGCAGAAAAATGCAAGTATTGCTGATTACAGGGAGCAAGGCTGTTAACTTTACTAAGCCGAGGAATCAGTTGCAGTTAATTATTTTCGGAAAATAGAGGCAAATCTCTTTCCAGTCAGTCGATCTAAATGCTTAGACGTTTGAACGTTTGAGCACTTAGATAAATCGCTGGAAGGAAATGTATGGCGAAAAGTTCTTTCAACGCCCAAAAACATGGTTTTGGGGAGATATCAATGCCTTTTCGCCATTGTTTTATCGCGAATGGATTTTGGCAATGTTGATACATGGAAAATGTAACTTTTTGTTTGAATAACCGTGAAATGTGATAAAATTTACCAATAAACTCCCTTTTGCTTGCATGAGGTCTACTGTGAAATACATTGAAGAGAATATTGAAAATTTCGATACACACCTGATCTCGAGAGGCTTCCCAGAGCAATGGTAGAAAAGAAACTCTGAGAAGTTAAATATAAAGACAGAAAAGAAGCTCTAAAACAGAAATCGAAAATTGCAGAAGGAACTACTACCCTTTATTGGGTAATTTCACTCAACCATCAATACCAAACTTTGGAAAGCATAATCACGCATAAATGGCACTTTTAAATACAAATACTCAGAGATATATTCAAGCAGCCATCCTTGATCTGTTATAGAAAAGGAAAATCACTGAAATACACGCTTGTAAAAGCAAAACAAAGGTTTTGAGCAACACAATAGCCACACAGCACGAGTCGCGTGGACTCATTTGCCATTAAATCAATCCCAGACAGTACAATGATCACCACCAGGCTTATTTCCAGTATTATTTTTATGACTGAGCTTTCAAATAAGTAGCCTGTACACAACTTAAAAAGCTTTACTGGGTTATTTCCTCTCGATTTATACCTAATTAATTTTGCAGTATTTTCAGACCATTACGCGATGTAAATTTCACAATAAACCTCTCGCAAGCAACGGAGTTCATCAGTAGATTTTGTCACATATTTCACAGTTATTCAAACAAAAACTTACACATTCCACATATCAAAATTTCCCAAATCCATTCGCGATGAAAACGATGGCAAAAAAGCGTTGATCTCCCTCAAAAATCGTTTTCTTGTACCTGATTACATGGAGTAAGAACGTTAACTTTACTTGGCCGAGAAATCAATAGCAGATCATTTTCAGAAAATATAGGCAAATTTCTCCCCTACTATACATTCGAGTTGACGTATAGAACAGGGCTGTCTAAGAGATTGATCAGACTTGATTGCACCTATTTTTTACCAGTTTACTGTAGGTTGATATTTTTAAACTTTTTTATTGTAAATTTCAAAGTTATTGTTCCTGAAAAGTGCCAATGAGGTGGTTCAATAAAGTGTGCATGAATTTACCCTAATATCTAAGAAAAGCACCTTGGATTGGACAAAAACAACAACAATTTATTGAAGTATTCCCATAACAACACATGGCATTACCTATTTAAACTAACGAAAATATAAAAACGAAACTAATTTTACAAACGAAATTTCTTGTCAAAGGGACATTGCTTGGAAAATACAAGCAGAAGTTGATTGATATACAGTACAATCAATGTGCCGTTTTAAGAGGAACAATACTTCTGCATTAATATCTAACTCATTAAAAAGACTATATTTGTCTGTTATTTCATCAAAGACTTTAAACATAACCTATCATATAACCAGCATAACAGACAAGAAAGCATATTTATTTTCAACCTCATTTAAGAGCCAGTGCCCATAACTATGGACCAAACAACGGCACAAGTTGAAAAATCGATTTTGCTCATTTTTTGCCCATAGATTGGCCCTAGCTAGTAAACAAACGGACCATAGTTAGTTTGTGCTAATGCAACCTTTTTTGGGAGAAATTTGCAAAAAACGATTTCTCCCCAATTGAGCTTAAAATCTACTTCCTGTTATGTTAAATTTTCTGAAAATTTGATTGCTTTGCGCGTCGCACAACAGCTACTT